GCTCTGGAGACGCACAGACATCTTTGAAAAGGCTTGCGAGCGAAAAGGTGAGCATCATCTCCAAGTTGCCAGGAACAAGGACGCTACTAGTAACAAAGGGCATCGCTACTAGGGGCTCCTGGACTTACTACTAGGAACAATAAAGCTACTATTGTCTGTTTTCTTCAACTTTTTTGGCGCTTCATCTCCAAGTGGCCAGGTACAAACAAGTTCTCCAAAAACCGCCTCCGAACTAATAGCGTTCTTGCTCCTATTAGCGATGCTCCTAGTAGTAAGGCCAAGAGCTCCTAGTAGCGTCCTTGCTCGTTCTCCAAAAACTTCAAGTCTTGGGGCGATTCGAAGAGTTTCTCAGTAACAAGTGCATCGCTACTAGTAACAAGTGCCTTACTAGTAGCAACAAGAAGCTATTAGTTAATATAACTTAATGTTAGTTTAATTCTAATAGCTTCTTGTTACTAGTAGTAAGGCACTTGTTACTACTAGTAAACAATAAGAAGCTATAGAATTTAACTATATTTATATACTGTTTCTCAGTGCGATTCGCTGTTTCTCCCTTCAGAGTCTTGTGCCGAACCGTCGCCGCCAGGCACGGGCCAGCGCTACCGCAAGGCAGGGGAATTGACGGGTCCGACGTGACGGCGCTTCAGCGAAGCGTTCGCGCGCGCGAGTGGAGGTAGCTAGTAGGGAGAGGTAGTTAGTAGATGCACCTTGGACGCAGGATAGCTCGCGTTCGCACTGATCTGGTTCCTGGAAAGCTTACTTAATAGCGATGGCCTCCACCTTCTAGCGGGGTCTTGGATAAGTGAGGAAAGAGTAGGAAGAGCAAATAGAAGAGGCCTTTGACCGGTAGGGATAGCTGGCTGTCGCATTCTTCCAGTTGTTTTTGTCGATGGTAGTAAGTGGTGTAGGAAGAGGCTGTCATCAGCCAGGATCCATGGAAGATTGTCTATGGCTACCAGTTCAAGAGGAATCTGCAGTGCACTGCCAAGCCCAAGTGCCTTGTTCGAAGGCATTTGTGGCTTAATTTGTTTCATTTGATACACCCATTCCTTCTTTCAGAAGCAAGCTTTTAGCGTGAAACGAGGGCAAAATACTGGACACAAAGTACTGGACACAAAGGGGGTTGAAACGTCCGCCCCAGCTGCACTGAGCTAGAAAGACCCTTTGTTCCTAGTACGTAGCGTCCTTGTTACTAGTAGTAAGGCTAGGAGCCCCTAGTAGTGTCCTTGCTCCTAGTTGCTCCTAGTAGCTTCTTGCTATGAAGGAGTAAGAAATTCTTAAAGATACCTCCGTATCTAGACATTGGACATCAGTGTGAACAGTGGAAAGGTGTGCACCCAACAGTGTGCACGGAACAGATGCGTGATCGATATAGCCTTGGCATGACAACGTGTTCAAATTGAGGCTTCGTGTTGTGAAGTTCTCATACCTTGCAACAGGATACCAAGACTGGCTGTTTGCCGAAGGCCTTAGAAACCGTCATTTGCCCCAAACTAGAGGAGGAGGAGGAGGTGGTGATGTGGCAGCTCCTGAAATCTACAAAGCCCCAAGGGTGGTAGAAGGCCTTTTGCTCACCCAAAAGCTACCTCTGCTAGCCACCACTGGCAGACGGGTCTATGCCTTCTCTGTTCGTCCCAACCGAGGCAGAAAGCCATGCAATCGAGGCAGGAAGCCGAGGCAGAGTGCAGCAAGGATTCCAGCTGCAAGGGCTTTTATTCACCCAAGTGTAACGAATCTGTGGTGCTCTGTCTGGATATGGCCGACCAAGAAGCCAATGGCGGTTGTGTCTATGAGACGCTGGGCAGACTGGTCGAAATGAGGCTGTCCAGGTCCCATGTCTTGTAGACGAGTGGACATGTGAAGGCCATTGTGCTTTGCCACTGGCAACTGTTTTTGGTCTTCGATGTGGTGGTGGTTGTTCCCCAATCCCCAAACCTCTTCACTACACCCTCATTTGGAGTCTGAGGAAGCTGGAGATTGGCGGCGGAGAGCAATGCACCGGCACAGCGTCCGAGGTGACCGCATGTAACAGCCAGATCTGCTCGGTGGCTTGGACATAGAACGTCTGCCATGCACCTCCCGTTCTCCTAGTAGCGTCCTTGCTCCTAGTAGTAAGGCCAGGAGCCCCTAGTAGCGTCCGATCGCTCCTAGTAGCGATGCCCTTTGCTCCGTTCGTAGCGTTATTTTGTTCCCTACTAGCTTCTTGTTACTACTAGTAAGGCACTTGTTACTAGTAGCGATGCACTTGTTTCTACTAGCGATTCACCGACCTTCCCACGGCATTTCGGATCCTGGACTTCGTCGATTCAGGTAGACTGCGTGATGTCGGAGTGGACAGACTGGACGCCCTGCGAGAAGTGCACGCAAGTGCGGCGGAGGAACGTCACCCAGGAGAGCGATGGCGACAAGAAGCTACTAGGAGCAAAGGGCATCGCTAGGCTCCTGGCCGTACTACTAGGAGCAAGGACGCTACTAGGAGCTACAAGTAGCAATGGCTTCCAGGAGAGCGGTGCTGGCGTGCCTTGCGGTAAGACGGAGGAAGAGACGCTTGGAAATTCGAAGACAGGAGTGCATGAAGGGAAGAAGCTTAGCAGGGGAGAAATCTGGAATGGTCCTAGGGCTGCAGGTTTGTAGCTCAGCAAGATTCAGTAAGGCTCTTTACCTCAAATACCATTGCCATAAAGTTGGAGGCCGTTGCTATGAGAAAATTGATTGGAATGCAATTAGGATTTTAAAGATCCATCCACAACGAATGTCCGAACCACATCAGACCTTGCCTGGGTCCTATCTCCAAGGAAGCCCTGTGGAACGCCCTGCGTGGATTGCAGCCGGTCAGACTCTCGCCGTCAGAAGCAGCTTTCGGAGTCTTCTCGCGGAGGCCGAACGGTGGTGTCAAACTTGCCAAGGACACGGGATTTTTCCAAGGAACCAAACCATCCAAAGCAAGACTCTATGTTTCCAGCAACCGGAAGAATGGTCCATGGTAATTGTGGGTTCAGAAGTCTTCATGATATTTTTGGTTGTCGTTTCAGGTGGTTTGCAGAACAGCGTTGTGTTTCTAAGTCGTTTCTATAGTTGCTTGCCTGTGTTTCTAGTCATTTGCGTCGAGTTTGAATGTACGGTATGTTTTTAGGTATTTGAAGGAAGTGTTCCGCATAGTAAATACATTCAATTCCTGGATCTAAATCGATGTTTATATGAATTTCCTTTTGTTCTTCCGACTGGTCCTCCTCCCTACTACTTCATTTAGTGGGCGCCTACTAAATTGGCTGTGGCCTGGCTGTGGCCAAAAGCATAAGGCATGGATCAAGCACCAAAACCACACCTGATCCACACCCTGATCCAAAGGGTGTGGATCAAGATCACTCAGTTGATCCGCACCCTTTGGATCAGACCTGCTTTCCTACGGGAGGGTGAAGGGCTTCTTCGGAAAGCTTGCAAAATGAAGTTTGCGTGCTCCGCTAATTTGTTTTGGTTGGTGAAGGGCTCCGCATTGCAGAATGAAGGAAGTGTTTGGGCTCCACTAAGTTCACTGGTGAGAGGCTCCTCAGGAGTAAACCTTGGAGAATGAAGTCTGGACTTGGTTCACTTTGGGTGGCAAAGGCTTTCCAATCAATAAATATTGCAGGGTGAAGTTACTGCACTGAGTTCCGGGCTCCTCAAGGGCGGGGGAGCTTCCTTGAAGAAGCGTGAGGTATCCTGCGTCCAGTAGCTAGTAGCTAACTTAAGCTGAGTAGGCGCCTACTTAACTAAGTCCGGGCGGGCTCAAAAAACGAACATGTATTTCTGTTTTTCCCACTTGCTATCAGAGCTGTCCTGCTCCTCCTCCGCATCCTCAACCGCGAGTGCTAGACCAGTGGCCACTGCCGCGTCGAACCTCAACTGTGAGCGCTAGATCGCAGTGGACGGCCCTCAGCAGATAGAATGCAACTGCCATAATGTATACCATAGAGTGCCAATTTTATGCCAGAGAGGATGCCAAAGTTTTTGCCAGATAGAGAGTCAGAACATATGCCAGATAGGCGTTTTCCCTGGTGGCAGAACAAATGTCGGAATACATGTCAGAACACATATCAGGGCTATGTCACAGGACATGTCAGACCTCACGGTCAGAACACATGTCAACAAGGACGTCAGAACACAGTCCAGAACATTGTCCCAGCCTCTATGACAGATGATGTGTCAGAGCACAAATCAGACTTGATGCCAGAACAAGCAGCAAAACATTGTGTCAATCCACATGTCGGGCCGCCTTTGTCAGGCTAGTCTGCCAATAATTGCGGGGACCACTCGAAGTAAAGTAGTTTTAAAGGTTCCCTTCTTTTCTTGCTTTGTCTGGGCTTCAGACCTTTTTTCCTCCTTCCTGCCTTCCTTCAAAGAGAATTTGCATCTTTGAATTGTAGGACTTTTAGTCCGGAGTGTCTTTGGCCCGTGCGGTGTGAGGAATGCGAAAACTCCACGGAGGTCTCTCAATGCACACAGCCGGGCAATTGCTCTACGAACTGCACATGGGAGGACCCCGGCTGTCGCATCAGCCAGTCCTGGTGACCTCGATGGATCGATGACCGACACCCATGAACTGCTTTCACGCTTGGGTTCCTCAAAAGGCGTGACTGCATGAGTTTGCGACTGGCACCAGGGGCCTTCCAAAGGGAAATACGGAGGAGAAAGGTCCAGACCCTACCAGCCGATTTCACCCGCTAGGACTGGAACGATTGGACGGTTTGTTCCGCCAGCTGTGGTGAAGGGAGCCGAGTGAGGCGGGGTGCGGCAGAAGGAAGACAATACACAAGATCTTGTATTAGGTATCTAGCTGTTAGTATTGCAGACCCAGAAAGTGGCCCATGGTCAAAGTGACAATGCTGAAGTCCAACAAGACATCAAAGGAATTCAGTTCAGGGATCGTGCACTGCCCCCTATCGTGCACTGCCCCCTATTGCATGTTGCAAGACTGTTGAGACGAACGCCGACCTTTTCTGCCCCATCCCTGGTCGACGTCCGGTCGACGCCCGGTCGACCCCCCCCCTTGTAATTTACGGTGTGTTCTGCGTGTGCAGTTCACAAAACACTGTGTTTTACAGGGTTTTGTGCGCGTGGAAGGTGCAAAGTTTCGATGATGGAGAAATGCAAAAACTGTGGGTTTTACACGGGTGGTGTCGGTAATGCGCGCTGCGCGGGCGCGCATAATCGGATTTTTTGGGGTGATGGGCCCGTGTCAACATAAATGGCGCAACATGCTAATAACGAGCTTCGTTTGCATGACTAACTTCAGCCTAGTCTATCAGCTGGCTTTCGTAATTGCTTGTGTGGTTTCTCTGTTGCGAATCCTATTGTTTTGCATCTTTTCCATGCTTGTTGTTGTCAGGGGCAATTCCCACGGGCCCCTTTCTGAGAGTCACTGTCTGATATAGCTCACTTGCTCCTACTCAGCAGGGGGCGCCCCCGTTAGTTACCTTCGGTAAGCAACCGAAGGCCTCCAGCTAGGACACGGCTCGCCTGGCCGGCGCCCGGATTTGGGCCGCTGTCCCTTGCCATCGGCCAAGAGCCCCGCGCCAGTAATAGCAACAAAAATACGGGTTACCGGGGTGACGAACGGCCACAACACCAGAACGCAAGAGCATAGCGCGATGCAAGAAAAATTGTTCACTTTCGCGGCCCCGTTTGCCGCCTTGATAACTTATATTCTTGTGACCCGGGTGCGGGTAGGTCGTGGAACGTATGAACCGCTCCAAGTGGAGAAGACCCTCTAGTAGATGATGCAATTGGGAGTGGGCGCCCAAATCGCTTAGGTGATCCGACCCAAAGATAGTCGGTTCAAATTGGCTACTACCAGGCACGTTATACATAAGTATATATATATACATATTTCTTCCATGTTGCAAAGTCAACGCAAGGTATTGAAACTGAAAGCAGGGGTCTTGGGGAATCATAGGGCTAGTCTTCACAAGCGTCTGGTACAAGGCATGTTCTGTGCATATAAATATATCTGCTCAACGTGGGCCCAAGATAGGTCAACATAGGCCCAAGATAGCTCAAGATGGGCCCAAGATGGGCCAACATAGGCCCTAGATCTAACGCACAGAAAATGTACCTTTCACCGTCTGGGAGGTCTTGGTCGGGGAGGCTGGCTGACCTTGCCGCTTTTCGATGGGCATTGACCAGCTTTTGTTGTCGTGGCTACTGTTGGTCTGCATCTATTTCCGCAGAAAACCGGTTCCATGTGTATAGTGCGGAGTGCCTCCAAAGAAGCCTCCCAACCTTTCCTAACCAACGCGTCTCCGTCACCTGCGTGTTCCTCCTGGCTTTCGTTTACCACAGAGAAAACTTCAAGTCTTAGGTCCCCGACTCAACTATCAACAAGGAGCGCTAGTAACAAGACTGCTTCCAGCTGTGATGGGTACTCCATGGAAGTCCCACTCATCATTCCAATCCGATGTCACGTTTCATGTAGCCTTGGAGAGGAACTACTTGTAGTTTTTGGCGTCAGATACCCAAGATGCCAATTCAAGTTGTCATCGGCTCGTAGGAGCTGAGGATTTGTTGCCGAAAAGAAAGTCCAGCCTCCTGCCCCAAGTGGTTGCTCTCGGCATACCTTGGGGATAGCCCTGTTGATGCTTCCAACGCTGCTTGAGGAGACAACGCCGCGACAACCGATGTTTCCTCGAGCTACAGTCGTTTCATAGCAATCAAGGAAAGCCGGGTCGGTCTAAAGAAAGAGGAGTAGAAAGAGGGAGGAAAGAAAAGAACTGACAAGAATAAGTCCAATACATTAATACATTATTACTCCTTGGGTTCATTGGGTTCCTTTTCTCTTTCTTCTCTTCGCCGCGTTTTTTTCGTTGCCAGGTTCCGCCTTGTGGCAAAGGAGGCCGTGGGGCCCCACGGTGCGGAGTGCACCGGCAAGCCCAAGGTGCGGAGTACGCGAGAACCGGATGACGAGGTGATGGATTGGCCCGCTAAAATCCGAATCATGGAGGTGGAAAAAGCAAGCTCCATCAACCTAGAAGCAATGGCCTCCAACCTAATAGCGATGGGTTCCTGTCGGTGTTTCGGACTTTGTTTCGGAATGTTTCCGCAGAACGTTCTTTCCACAGTGCTACGCAGTGAAGGTGTGTGAGGAGGTTGGAGGACAAACAGGCCTAAATAGTAAAGTTGCGAGAATCTCAGAAGGCTAAAGGGCAAAGTTACCTCTTTGCGCATCTGTAAGGGCCTAGCAGCCGACCTAGTGGCCCAGCTTCGATGGTGACGGAACCATGTTCATTCCGGCCATCCTTGCAGGAAGAAGAATACTGTGACCCTGGAAGTGAATGTCCAGTTGATTGTGCCTTCAACGACTGGAAGGACCATCACATTGCGAAGCTCTACTTGTATTCTTTTGGTTCGCTGGATGAGAGATCCGTAGATTGAGCAAATGATATGCTGAGAGGGAAGCAAAAAGCAAACATTCAACTTTCACACTGAGTTTTTGGATTGCAAGCATTGTGTGAACAGGTTTGGAGGCCAACGTTACTTGGTTGGAGACCATCGCTATTACGAGGCCATTGCTACTAGGTTGGAGGCCATTGCTACTAGGTTGGAGGCCATCGCTATTAGGAATTGAATTCTTAATGAATTGAATCTTAAAAAAATATATCGCAGTTTTTCGGACCAAGTTGCCCCCGCCAGTGATTTGGAAGGGATGGCTGAGGAAGCAACATGGCTCTCCTTGACCAAAAGCCAAACGACCTCCGGCTCTTCAAGGGTACACGAGCTTCACTTGGCACAATTTTTGAGGGAAGTCAGTGTCAAACCACATAGCTTTCAGAAGTTTATGGAGCTCCTTCGAGGGCACAGCGAAGCAAGCACAGCAGAGGGTGATGAGGGTGAGGAGGTTCAGGACTCTTCTACGTTCGATGATCCATGCGGCACATGTGGTCAGGAGATTCGAGCTTCTTCGAAATGTGTCCTCATGAGCTTCTCAGACACAAAGCGCAAAGCGAGCAAAGCGAGAAGATGCGCTTCACTGATGGTGAGCATTTGATGGACACTCCGAGAGAGGGGAGCAAGATAGTAAATCATCGGCAAGACTGACTTTACTGCTTATCCAATTTTTTTTTTGTGTTTCAATACTTCGGTTGTCGGCGATCAGGTTGCAGGCAAGAGCCCATATAGATTTCCTTCAGAAGTGCAGCAGTTTGGCAGCACCTATCTGTTACTCTTTCAGCATCGCTTTTGCTTTGCACCCCTGAATTTTCTCAACCTTGCAGTTTTTTTCAATCAGGGCGTGCTAGGAAAGCAAGTCAGGTGCTTGTTCGAATTAGTTCTTATTGCAAAACGCTGAAGCGCTGAGTCTGAGAAACCACCCAGCCATCGCGCTTGAAAAAGAGTTTGCAGAAGAGCCAGCAAATGCGTCAGCGACCACTGACGTTGAGAAGAGCTCCGTGGTAGAGCTCCATGGTTTCATCTAGATGGCATACAACGCAGGGGCGTCCCATGATGCTCTCAGTTTCATTTGCCAAGTTAAGTTTCTCTAAGAATCTAGGAACCAAATCAGCTGTCCTGCGTCCAGTAGCTAGTAGCTACTAGTAGCTACCTCTTCTAGTGGCCTACCCCCCTTAAAGAAAAAGAGAACTAAAATAGAGTGTTAAAGAATCAGACTTATTCCCCTAGCGAAGCTATGGGGTTCTTATTTCAAATAGCAATGAGTTGCCCGTGCGTGCTTTCGAGACAGGTAGCTGGTGCCGGGTGCCGGTGCCGGGCGCCGGGTGCTGTGAGCTGGCTGTGCACGTGGTGCAGGTTGGTG